TAGGGCATCCTGTTTTTCTCAGGACCACCTAAGCCCACAAGGGACTCAGAAGCCACTGCAGTCATTGTTTAAACAGGTCCAGGTACAGCTCACACTGGATGCTGACCTGAGATCGTCCATGGTTTTGCAGCATACATAATGCAATAGTTATGAGGTCATAGAAGCTTCCACCAAGACTTCACAGGAAAGCCTGGGAGGCCATACAGAATGTGGCAAGATCAGAATCCCTATAAGCAGCCCATGACAGGGAGGGCAACATATGCAGCTATGAGAGTGAAGACGAAGCTGCAACAGAGACCCCAGACAATCAGAGATGCCAGGATGAGGATTATCATTCAGAAGGAAACTGCAGGCAGCATGCAAAGCTAGACCAACAAAGTGGCTATGTGTGCTGCTACCAGCAAAGTGGTTAGGTGTCAATGCCCAAGCTTCTGGGAGCCCGCATCCTGCCATAGTGTTCCCCCTGGATGCCAAACATGGAATAGTAGAATTTAATGTTTGTCCTTCTGGGTTTGGATGACTCCATGCTACTTGGCTATTTCTCTCTTTGGGAATGTGACTATTCACCCTGTGTCATTGTATTTTGGAAGTATGTATGTACATGGAAAATAGCAAATAGGTAACTTTCCTTTTTTGAGTTTTTGAGGGACTTACATCAAGCTTGAGGGGCTGCAGCTAAATTTGCCTTGAGTCTTAGAGGAGAACTTGGAATTGGATTTTTAATTAATGTTGGAATAGTTAAGATTTTAGGGACTCTTGGAGATAGAATGAAAATTCTTTTGCATGGTGAGATAGACATGAGTTTCAGGAGGGTCAAGATGAAATGCTATAGTTTGGATCTTCAATGTTCCCCAATGGCCCATGAATTGAAGTCTTAGTCCTTGGGCTTGGTGCTATTGGCATGTGGTAGAAACTTAAAAGAGGCAGGGCCTAGTAGAAAGTCCTCCAGCCATTGAGGGCCGGCCCTTGAAGGGGATGGTGGAATCCGAGCCCCTTCCTTCTTCTTTCTTCTCTTTTGTTCATGGCCATGAAGTTGAATGACTTTGCTCTGTCACATTCCTCACCATGATGTGCTACCAGGACCAATACAATGGCATCCTCCACTGAGTACACCACTTTCTTTGCTTGGCTTTCATGACCCCAGGTCCTCTTGCCTTTTGTCCCAACATCACTGGCCACTCCACTTGGGTTATTATTTTTTGGTTCCAATTCTTTGCTTTCATTTTAAAACTCTGGAGAGCTCCAGGACCCACTTCAGAGCCTCTTCTACCTCTCTGTTCACCCTCTTTACATATCCTTGTTTGGTTCCCTATCACTGTCTGGTGACAACATATCCATGACAACCTCATCTACAAGTCTATCCCTGACCTCACCCATAACCCAGAGTCTTGTTGTTTTCTCCTTACCTGCCATCTCCACACAGAGGTCTGATAGGGATTCTGAATCTTTACGTTGTCCAACTAATAATTTTGATTCTTTTCCCCCCTAGGTCTGCTTAACCAAGCTCTCTTGTCAACCCTGTTCATCAAACCAAAAATCTAAGTTTTACTCTCAATTTAATTTCTGACTTCTAGTCATCATATTTATTTGTTCTAATTAGTTATACATGACAGTAGAATGTACTTTGACTATAATCAGTCATCCCGTTTTAACCCTACCTAACAGGCAAGTTTTTCTTTCACTCCATCCCAGTAAAGTACTTTCTAGTTCAGGCTACCACTAGTTGTCTGCAGGACTCCTCCAACAGGCTGCCTCTGAATCCATCCTCCACAATAATCCTTTTCTAATTTTTATCAGATGGCATTCACTCCCATTTCCAAAACTCATGAGAGGCTTCCCACTACTCCAAGTGCTGGAACCATTACCCAGGCTTGTAAAGCCAGACCTGGTCTGGCTCCTGCCTTCAACCTCATCATGTGCCACTGTCACCCTCACATGCTGTTCCCACCATGCTCACCTTATTTCTGCTCAGTGAATGCAGCCAGGTTATTCTCCCACCAGGGCTTTTATGCCATCGCTGACATAGTCTGCTGACATTGTCTCCTTTAGCTCTCAGCATGGCTACAGCTGAAAACCACAACTATCTCAGCTTAAATATTACCTCTGGAGACAGTCAGGAAAGCCTGACTATCTAATCAAACTCCCAGCTTTCCCTGTGTGGTGCCCAATTTTAATTCTCTGCAGAGTATTAGTGTGTTCTCTCATCTATTTTTTATTGGTCCACTCTAGCTATACCGTCCCACTAGAATGTAAGTTCTTGAAGTGCACAAGAGGTGTATCTTCACCCTGGGTCTTAGTCCCCTCAAGCTGCTATAACTGAATGCCACGGACAACAGAAGTTCATTTCTCACCACTATAGAAGCTGCAAAGTCCAAGATCAAGATGCTGGCTGATTTGGTGTCTGGTGAAACCTCATTTCCTAGTTCATAAAAGGCACCTTCTCACTGTATCTTCACATGGCAGAAAGAGAAGGGTCTCTGGGGTCTTTTTTGTAAGGACACTAACCCCATTCATGTGAGCTTCTCCCTCATGACCTAATCACCTCTTAAAAGCCTCATATCACTGTCTGGTAACAACTTGCTCATGACTACCTAATCTACAAGTCTATCCCTAATGATGGTATTTCCTAATACCATCACTTTGGAGTTAGGATTTCAACAGATAAATTTGGGCAGGAGACACACTCAGTCTGTAGCAACCTGTAAAGAAGTACCCAGCACCTAGCACCTAAGACGCGATTAATAAATATTTGGGTGTATTTATGGCTCTCTCATTAATTTTATTGGTATATTTGTTTACTTTTTCATAAATGCCACCCATTTTATTACTGCAGCTCTGTAGATATTTTCATTTTATTACTACAGCTCTGTAGATATTTTAATATCAGTAGAGTAAAACTCTCCCCCCACACATTATTCTCTTCAGAATTGTCTTTCCTAAGATTATGAAATACTTATTTTACATGAATTTCAGATTCAGATGATCATGTATCATGCTAATTCTATAGGAATTTTGATTGGTATGTTTTTGAATTTATAGATTAGTTTGAGGAAAAATCACATCTATAGAATACCATCTATAGAATACTATGTAAAACACTGTGTAATTCTCCACTTATTTAAACATTATTTTTGTGCCCTTCAATTTAGCTTTATAGCTTTCCTTTTATGAGTCATAAAGTTCTTTATAGGTAATAATTTTTGAAAACTGTTGGGAATATATAGTTTTCTATGATACTTATTAATTTCCACTGTATAAGTAGCTTTTCTACTCAGACATTATTGGGGGTTCTTATTTCCTTTTTTAACATTTTTTTATTTATATATGACAGCAGAATGCATTACAATTCTTATTACACATATAGAGCACAACTTTTCATATCTCTGGTTGTAGACATAGTACATTCACACCAATTCACGTCTTCATGCATGTACTTTGGATAATAATGATCATCACATTCCACCATCATTAATAACCCCCTGCTCCCTCCCTTCCCCTCCCACTCCTCTGCCCTATCTAGAGTTCATCTATTCCTCCCATGCTCCTGCTCCCTCTTATTTCATCTTGTAGATAGCATATAGCTGATTTTCTCGATTTTCTAAAGGAGAGGATCTCAATATTTTCACAGTGTGCTCCTTTACTTTTTAAAATACTATATTGCTTTAGGTGAGATGTCCATAAATATACCCAATAACAATATAAATGTGGACACCTGTATTTGACCCCATGCTTTCCTGGAATCACTACCAAGTGTGACATTTGTTCTAAGTTTCTGGTAGAAATCCTTTATCAAATAAACAAGTTCTCTCTGTAGTGTTTCTATAACTTAAAAAAAAAAGACAGCCTTTAAATAACATTTTTAAGAAATTAGTTTTACAACAACAAGTAAAAAAACACTAATAGGTTTTGGTAAAATCCTGCAATGTTTTAACAACAACACTTCCTAATTATTGAGCTTCCTTTGTGAGGCAGACAAGGGGCTTAATATATTTGATACTTTATTCCTAACTGTCAAAGCATTTTTACAAGGTGGAGTATTTTCCACCACTTTAAAAATGAGACAATATTGGCTCCAAGACTCATGTAATTCATCATAGGTCACAAATCGAATAAGTAATTAATCCGAGATTTACATCCACTATATCTAGCTCCAAAGCCAACATTCCTCCCACCGTTTTCCATTTTTAATTCAGTGAGATATTAAACCACGTCTTTCAACATGCCTTAGCTGTAAAGATAACAAATGTGCACTGGGTTTATGAGCTAATTGATAACCATAACCAAAGAATGTCTATTTTGGTGCCAATTCTGATGGAGAAGTAAAAGGACTTTGAGACCCTCTCTGGTCACTAACAGCTATGCCTTTTATTAATGGCTTATATCTAGGTTTAAGAAGACAAAGGCACAGATAACCAATTTAGGTCAGCTAATACAATGGATTAGGGAAGAGAGATCCAGAAACATCTAAAGAGCAGAAAGGCTGAGCCATAATAAGCAAGAAGATTTTTTTAATGATTATAAGTAAAGATTGAAACTTAGGTTCAAAAAAATCAAATGCACACAACCAGGATAAAAATAAGCACAGTCTTGTGAAAAAGACCTAGCAGTTTAAGCCAAAAGGTAACTTGGTATAATGTGGTTGCTACATCTACTCAATATGGGTGTATATCATAGTTCTTGACCATCCCAAGAGGTCAAGAGTACCACTCTCTATATCTGGGAGTACATATCTTGTTTTGGATGTTATATTTTTATTGGTCATAGCCTGGTGGAAATGCTAGCAACAGCCAAATATCTACTTCAAGTTCAGGATGGAGAAAGTTTCAGAGGCAACAAGGGGACCCCAAGACTTCCCACCATGGTTAGATAGCTTGGGGAACAGGGAGTCCACAGAACAATGAGCTCCTTACGAGCTCAACCTCATCTGGTTTGGAACATGCTCCAACATGAAAACCAACATCACCTTTTTTGTGTAACTAAGAGTTCCTATCTTTACTTACTGCCACTCCCGTTTTATAGAGGAGGTAATGTACAGTCTGGGTGACATCAGCAGCATGCATTAAATTATGGTAAGGATTTTTATGCTTGCTGTATCCCACTTCCAGGGCCTCCACAAATGAGACAAGTGCAGAAATGGGAATCTGAAAGAGAGCCACAAGCTTAATTAGTGACTGGCTTGCTTTATGTGAAGAAGCAAAAGTCTAAGGCACCTTGACTACTTTTTTTCTGGAGGATAACATGTCACATGAGGAAATTACAACTTTTCATAGTTAATAAAAATCAGTGGAGAAATTATAAGATGATTTAGAAACCCAACAATGTCCCAGGTTGAAGAACAGTCCACTTTGCAAATCATTCTTTACTTCAATTCAGGGACCCTGGGGAATGACACAAAATCATCTCAAAGAAATTTAGTCTTACTTGTGTGAAAAGCAATGATTTTTGATGCAATGTAGAAAACCATGTTATCAGCAACTATGCTGATTTTCTGAATTTCCTTGTCCCCATCTATCCTTAAATACCATCCCACTCCAGTATCAAGGTACACCAAGACCCCAAACAATGTGGTAAGCAATGTTGAAGGTCATAATAACAGTAATAATTAGTATCATTTTGTGGACTCCTTCACAATTCCTAACATATGGTCAGTGGAATGAGACCTTCCAAATTGCAAGTCACCAGTAACAAATTGCAAGTGATAACATGAGAACACAGATTGTTCCTGTTGCCATGTATGACAGACTATCACATTGTGATTTGGGCTTTGTTTTTTGTGTTTTGGTTTTTCTCATGTGTCCAAAGCCAGTGTCAATTCCTAAACAGCCTGGTTTTCAAGAAGTCAATATTTCTTCAATACTGGCAGCAGCTCACATCTGCCTTGCAATAACTTGATAACTGGAGGTTTTTGTGTTATTTCATGTTTTCCCACAGGCAAATTGGATATGCTGCATGGTATGCATTCATATGTTTCTCAAGACATAAAGACTTTAGTCTCTTTTCGTGAAATTACCAGTAACTGAGGATAATATTTCCAACTGGCTTAACTGATTTTCCATCTCAAATATATATATCATAGACATAGCTTCCTTTTCAATGTGGCAGAAAATGAAGAAGAATTGAAAAATGTATGTACTAAATAAGGGGACCCTGGAAACATTCATTGTGTTAGTTTTCTGGATCAATGCCGTGGTTCAGGGTAAATTATGCAGTTCAGGGATAAAGGAAAAGAATTGGAGATGAACGATCACATTAGTAAGAAACACTAAGGAAAATGCATCTGAGGTTCCATAACCTGTTTCTCCTTGGTGTATTCTTCGTGCTTGCCATTTGTGGATTTAAAAAAAAAAATTAAACACGAAGTCAGAGATGAACTCATTATCATTTTTAAAAATGGGGCTCCTGGGTTGTTCTTTGGAGCCCTGTGAGCCAATAAGATGCTAAGTAAAGGTATATATGTATGTGCACAGGAGATTTGTTCCAAAGAAACAGTGTCCGGCTTCATGCAGGTTTCAGATGCACAACAAATAAAGGACTTATGGGCCACTGCCATGAAGTATTTACAGTCATGCAAGAAAAAATAGGAAGCATCCTCCAATATGCAGTCCTTTGGAGGTGATAAAGACCAGGCTGTCCCAAGAATTTAATATGTTATACAGAAAAAGCCCTGCATTTCCAAAGGCTTGTCCATCTGATGCAAGAAGTCTGAAGAGCTTGATCAGAGAGATGTCAGCAGATGAATACACAGGTTCCCTGGAGGACCTGGTCTGACCTGGAGAGCCCATGGTATGAGATGGCTGAGCGGGGAGCAGAACACTGGAGATGAGTCATGCTCTTTATTTAACATGAAGAATTAATTTGAAGCATGAATGGCTGGGAAATACCAATGGTCTGTCACTGATGATATGTGAGAGTATTTGTCTGAATGAGCCAATGGGTGGAAAAAAAGTTTACAGAAGGAGCAGAGGCTCACTCTGTCTCCATTACTGCCTGGCTGACAGCAGTGGTCGATAGTACACGAGGTCGTGCTGAAATGAGAGCCACAGGCAGCCCCCACAGGGGAGCTCGGCTACTGAAGGCTTGGGTTGTATTTCTAGGAAGACAGGGATCTGATCCGGCTTCTCCAGCCTCTCACTGTCCCTGAGACCTACCAGCCTGGATGTAATGAAAAGTACCCCCAGGAGGAAAGCACAGCAGCCTTGTCCTAAAGGTGCGCTCTGAGTCACGGAGAGCAGTTTGGGCCTATTTTAAAGTATTCTCTTGGTCTTAAATCCAAAAGTCATATGAGGATGAACCAAACAGGTACATTTTATTTATTTTTTATCTTTTTAATGAAGTACTGACCTTAAAGCGGCTGATCAGATCATAGCGGGTAAGTAATTCATAGAAAATGAATTTCAGTGCATGATCCCCACTGGCCTCATTGAGGGAAAACACATCAAAGGACCACTTGTCCACATCCTGCAGGACAAGGCAGGGAGGAAGAATGTATTAGTCTGCAGTCATTTATTGAGCTACCAATCTCCCCATTTTTTAGTCTTTCTGTAGCCTTTACCTGTTAATTTCATAGCCCAAGAGTCTTAACTTCCACCTTCAAATTTTTCTTCTATCTGTTAGTCCTACCTAGAATTTTCTGTTTAAAAATCAGGTCATCTCATTACTATGCAACAAAAGCCATCATTTATTGAGTGCATACTGCATGATAGGCTTCAGGCTCTGTGATAAGTATGTAATTTTCCTGAAAACAACTCTAAGTGGTGGGTGACATTAGTCCCAATTTACAGATGAGAAAACCAACACCTGCCTAATTTCCCTAAGATCCCTTCAAGTAAGTGCTTAGGACACAAGTGGAATGAGAATAGAAACAGAAACGTGTCCACCGACCCCCTATGCTCAGGCTCTTCCAATCAAGCCCTTGAGCTACCGCTAGGGAACTCATGAGTCCCTGGGCTGCTTCATCTTCAATCTTCTCTTCTGTCCACATCATCCAATGACTTCCTCTTAGTCTACAGTTGACAATGTTAACTCATTTAAAAGTATTCAGAAACACACATGATAAAGTATGCCTAATAGCATGTCACCTCAGTCTTCTGAGCTGAAACTAAGGAGAAAGCTTTTCATTTCACAGGACAGAAAAATGCTACCCTTCTGAAGTCACTAATCCTGGGATCTAGTTCTCAAATCTGTACATCACTTTACTGAAAAGAGGAAAAGGAAAAGCTAAGTGGAACACACACTTGATAAACCATTGATGAAGTTCTAATTTGTCCATCAAGTTACTCCAAAATACATGTAAACATGATCTGAAGTGCCTTTGACCTAATACAACCAGCTATTTATAGACATAGTCAACAGCGTGTCTAGTCAACAGTTGAAGCAACAGTCATTTGTTTTCTCGTCATTTCCCAATCCTGTCCTTCTCTAAACATTCCACCTGTCAGATTCATCTCAAGGTCATCAAGGATCTATCTCTTGAAAGCCAGGGCACAGGAAAACATCTGTTCATAGGAAAACACAAAATGTTCCTTAAGGATTTCAACTGAATTGTTTCAATTCACATTTAGAGGTAACCTCACGTCAATCTTCATGACCCTTCCATTAAAAAACTAAAGAAAGAGAGCCAGCCGAGTACTAAGCACAGTTTCTGTGAAGTGATTATATACATTCACAAAACCTCTAGAAAAAGGTGTCACCTCTTCCAGTATTGCAAATGGCAGCCTCAGAGAGACCGGGAAATTGTCTATGGCCATGCAGTAGCAGAACCAGGTAACAAGCCATGGAGATCTCACTGGTGACAGATGACACTGCAAACTCAGTGAGTCTGTGCTGTGACCCAGGTCTCATCCCCAAAATACCCAGCAAGGGCCCAGGCCATATACAGCAAGTCTATTAAAGATTTACTCAAGATCTAAAGCTTTATCCTGGTTACTAAAATTGGCACTGCCATGAGTCACAGCCATTGTCTGATCCCTAGTCCTAAGGAAAAGGCCACTGACAACTCAGTGGGTTAGAAAACACTTTGTCACATCTGACAATTTTTAAACCTACATTCCAGGATGAGTTTAAAAAAAAAAAAACCTTTCTATCACTGGAAATTGAGATTATCATAGTAAAAAGTCAAGATTTATCTGGATATCAGTACTGAGAAACGGGAGGATGAGTGACGTATTTACTGTATATGAGGGGGAAGTTCTCTTTGGCCCCTCATTTTAGTGAAATCTTAATTGTGATTTTTCTAACTATTTAGAGGGCTTATTGAAAATGCTGATTCAGGATGAGGGACACAAGACTGAAGAATCCTGGGCCTGGAATCTGCATTTTAACAAGCATCTAGATGAACTGCCTCAAACCATTCTCCCTCTTTTACGAAATTTTGCCTGAGGACAATTTCCTGTTCACACAGCCAAAAGGAAGCCTCAACCTCCTCACTTCCTCCCACTTTAAACCTGGAGTTTATCCAAGGTGTTGCTTCCTGAGCCACAGACAGCTGCTGTTCTAAAGAAGAGAGTACTTGTTCATTTTCCAGTAACCCCACCCCAGGAGACTGGAGATAAAATACCTAAATTAGAAGTGAATACGTATTGAATGGGAAAAAAAATTAAAAGAACAAACTGCAACCTATTTCAAATTTAGAGCTGGGTGGTGGCTCATTGTTCTCTTCCTTAAATATCATTTTAAGGCATGTTCTTATATTAGCCACAAAAGTTAACATGATAGTAGCATAATGGTTATTTTAGTGAATTATATTTTCTCAGTCTTTAGAGAAATTTTCTGCAATAGAAGAGAACAGCAGTGATTCTATATAAACTCTTAGCAGTGAGGTGGAAATGACCTCTTTTCCCAACAGGTACTATACAAAAAAAAAAAAAGAGAGAGAGAGAGAGAGAGAGAGAGAGAATCTCTCTCTCCAACTCACCTCCAATCCACTGCAAATAAATCAGGAGTCTGGGGAACTGGAAAAATATGCCATTGTAAAAAGGTTTTGAACTTTCCCAGACAACAGGGGATAGGGCCAAAAGAAATAGCAGCTTTAACCTTCATGTACATATTGGCAATCCATGTGGAGAAGGATAGAGCAATTTAGAGCTAGTACTCACTCCTAGTTTGAATAATCTTTTCCCTTTTCCTTCAGAAAGACAACATATGTGCATCTGAGAATTTTCTTTTCCCTAAGTATAAAATAACAATTTGTGCACATCACAGGTTGTTCCATGAGTTTTTTTCCCAGTTACTCTGCATAGAAAAGAAGCTCCAATTTGGAAGAAATAGTCTCATAGATGTCTCAGTATCAGTATACCCACCTGTGTTGGTGTTCATGATAAAGGAAGAAATTAAAAATTAAAGTATGCTTTTAATGTTCCCAAGACTTTCACTGAACATTTCAGGTTCAATTATGAAAATCAATGCAATTTCATAGTGGTTGTTATAAAACATTGGATCTCATGAAGCGATTCCACTGATTAAATGGGAAAGATCACTGTACATTACACTGATGTATTGGGCATTAGTGTGATAGGGAGGAAAGAGAGAAAACACATGGCTTCTTGCTGTAGCTTTCCTGCTCTTAAGATGAGGTAAGAAGAGACAAAACACATAGAGACAGAAAAAGTGGAAATGAGAATCTGCTTATATATAGTCTCCTAAGTATGTCTGAGACAAGAGGAAGAACTATCAATACATAATTAAGAGGGTCCTCCAGGGCTCCTGCCTGACATTAAATTAATTAAGAACTCCAACCTGCAATTCTATTTTATTACTGGGTAAGCCAGTCATGCTTTTTCAGGTTTCAGAGAAAGACAACAATTTTTGCACAAGTCAGAATTCTACAGTGTCCCCCAAGCAAATGAACCAGTTCTATGTGTAGACACTCTACAGTGTCAACCAGCCCAGTGATTCTAGGCCTTTACACAGCCCAGCCTTAGAATCCAGAGGTAAACTGGGTTTAGCACACTTGGATTTACACCAACACTACCTGGAGGAACACATCAGCTTGAAGGCTCTTAGGGATATTCTATACGATTTCAAAAGTTTGTCTGATTGGTAGTAACTATGAAGGATCTAGACCAGTTGAGCATAGACATTTGAATGACTTTCCATGGAGCATTTGGCTCAGTGTGAGTCCTGGGAAAACTGTAGGATATATGGGGATGGTATATATCCACAAACTCTGGGGGCATACGTTCATGCCACAAAACGTTACTGAGACGTTACCATGTGGTAGACACTCTGCTATCAAACCCTATCTTTGTTTCCAATTAACTCTGTCCTTTTCAAAAATCTTGCTGAGTCTTAGTTTCTTCATCTGTAAAGTGGATTTGGAGTAGGTAATCAGGGAATGATACAATTACAATCACCAAAGAGCCTCCTAATGTTGAATAATACTTTTGACATAACACCTCCTATGACCCATTAGATCAATCTCATAATTTCAGATCAATGTATAAAACTAAACTTCCATAGAAGAATAGAAAGGAAAAAAAACCAACACAGAGTTTGATTAAAAAAATAGGAAGACAGAGGCTGAAAATGTATTGACAGTGTTAGAACAGATAAGAAAATGATAATGAAAGATTAAAGTCAGGAATAACTGAGAAAAGAACTTTAATTGGAAACCCCTTATTTTCTAAAAAATTCAACTATACTTTCTATGAGATACTATCTACATTGTAAAATCTTTTCATCAGTATTACCTTTAATGCTTCAATAACAGCTGGTGGGTAGCTTAGTCCAACCATGTTTGATGTCCGTCTATACATTCTGGCAAAATCAGAGAGGAAAAATGCAATGTGATATCTTACAAAAAAATGATTAGCAGCCCACAGACTTACACAAAATATTGGCAAATAATGAGAAGTCAAATTGACTGCTGACCAAGGAAACTAAAATTTCTTTTTTGGTATTTTTCACAGTCACTCAAGTGGCCTAACTGTTAAATTAAAAAGATATTCAAGCAATCTCAAACATGTGAACCCTGGTAACACACACAAAAAAATGTTAAGTCTAGCTGCCCAGATTGGAAACTAAATTATTAAAATGGGTTACCTGTTCTGCTAGAAAAACATATAGTACATCAAAGATGGAAGGCAGTGCAGTACTTGAACCTGAATGATGAACCCTGTGGGCAACCCATTTAGGAAAGTGGGTTCTTTAGAATTATCCTAAAGCAAGAAAAATATCCCAGGCAAACTTTCAACTCACCATGGCATTTCTAAAATGTATAATTGCCCAATAGGGATTGCAGGAGAAAGGAAATCTATTTCTGGAGTAGTGGAGCAGTTCAATTTCAAAGGGATGACAAAATTGAAGTGTCACAGGGAACTCACACCTTTTAAATGAACTTTCCTCCCTGGGTCAGCAACTTCAAAGCACTCCTGACCTGTTTCAGAGGTAGACACATTCACCACCCCATCATCTGATCCAAAAGACGATGGATTAAATGATTTCCTTCTTTAAACATTAGACATTGAACTCAAACTATTTTTTTTTCTGGTTATCAAAAAGAATTTTGAGCAAACAATAAAGCTTGTCCTAATGATGCTGCAGAGATTAAAATAGAGGTTTTTGCCATCTCTCATTGAAGACTACCTGCTTCCACCCAGAATTTTCTGCATTTATAAAGATGTCAGAACCACATTAAGCAGAAGCTTCTGGTTATTGGAAGCTGGCATTCCTTTTGCTGCTTTGAATAACAATGAGTGACATCTTTACCTCTCCACAAATATTCCAGCTTGCACTGCGTGAACGATGCTCTTGAACCTGGGCTTCTCCTCACTCCTCCTGAGCATCATCCCCATCTGCCGTGTAAAGGTGGAGGCCAGCCAGTCTCGGACTTCAGAAGGCACAGCATCTGACTGAATGTCACTGAGCTCATCCTCTGTATCCAGGAGTCGTCTGAACATGAACATGAAACATAATCAGGACACTGAGACTAAATCTAAAGTTAGAACTCTCTTTTCAAAACAGGTGCAAAAAAATTGGCCACAGAATATACAGTGCCATTTTGATAAAGCTTGTGGAAACTCACTATTGATGTTTCAGGTTGGCTCCCCTGACTACACTGAATGCTCTAGGTCCATGTATTGAAGACTTGGTCCCCAGACAATGGCGTTTTCCGGGGTAATGGAAACTTTAAGGGGTGGAGCCTAGTGGGAGGTCTTCAGGTCATTAGGGGCATGCCTCTGAAGGAGACTGTGGGACTTAGCCTCTTTTCTTCCTTTCACTTCCCAGTCAGGAGGTGAGTGGCTTTGATCCACCATGCATTCCTACTGTGACATGCTACTTTATCACAGGTCCAAAAGCAATGGAGCCAATCAATCATGGACTCTGACTTGAAACCAAAATAAATCTTTCCTCTTTATAAATTGATGATTTGGGGTATTTGTTATAGTGGTGGAAAGCTGACTAACATATGGAATAAAGGGAGAAGAAGAATTAAACACATTCCCTCTGAGGCCCCACACAGGTGGTAGGCACACTGTACTTTAGGAGTACCCAGTGTCCTTAACCCTTGAAGGTTTATAGAGTTTGAATGAAATTTAAAACTTCCCTTTAAAAAACCACTCACAAGGAGGCTTAACTTAATTTTATAGATGAACCATGTGACATTATTTAAAAATAAGGTATTAATTAGACATTTAGTTCCTGTTACCTATTAATTTAGAAAGAATATCAGTTGACATCACTTAGGATTGTTACTTCAGAGGACTGCGTTGATGTGATTTGGGTAACTTATTATCTGAATTCAAGCAAAATTTACAAAATAAAGTCATTCTTTTTTGAGCACAATGAGGTAAGCCATATGACAGTTGTGCTTTGCAGGTTTGTCAAACTTGTTCACAGGTCAGACACCAGAAGGGAACATAAATTGTTGAACTATAATAAAACCTAAAATTACACTTCATACTATATTAATTCATAATGAAAACAAGCAATAAAAGCAGGTATCATTGCAAAAGTATTCTTTTTTACATTAGATGCATAAATTGGGGAGAAGGGAAGAAAATATTTGAAAAAAAAACCTGTGATAGCAAATTGCCTTAAATTAGTAACATAGCATGTCATCACAAAAATAAACCATGCAAGCCTTAGATTACAGTGAACTACTTCCAGATTGGAATTGGCAAAGGAAACTAAGACATCACAAGTACTGACAGAGAAACCCGTACAAAATAGGGGTAAAAAAATTAAAATAAAGCCTTTCATACTCAACATCTCAACGTTTTTCAAAAGAAAAGCAATTTTGTGACTTTCAAATGTATTTTTAGTACCTGAAACCACTTTAATATTTTGGATAATTCAAGTGGAAAAATCTGCTAAGAAAAATCAATAACATGCATAAGACTGAAGAATGGATACTGTCGGCTTAAGGGAGCAAGTGTTTCTCTTCCACTTCATGAGCCTCCAACTACTGATGGATATTGTGAATTAGGACAAGTACGATTTTTAGACAGACATTAACAATATGTAATAACTGCAGTGAAACTCTACATTGAATAAGAAACCTTTCCACAATTGTTAGAGTTAATTTTTCTCCTCGTACATTATCTCACTTCATTGTCCTAATGGCTACATGAGAGGGGTTTTATTAGCTCTTTTTCTAGATGAGGAGGAGTAGAGGAGAAGGGACTTGTCCAGATCTGTCTCATTTACTTGCAGAAACCAGTGTTCCAAGACCAGTTATCTATCTATCTATCTATCTATCTATCTATCTATCTATCTATCTATCTATTAATTTATTTTGTACCGAGGGTTGAACCTAGGGGAACTTAACCACTGAGCCACATTCCCAGCCCTTTTTTATATATACATTTTACTTAGAGGCAGGGTCGCACTGAATTGATCGGAGCCTCACTAAGTTGCTGAGGCTGACTTTGAAGTCGAGATCCTCCTGCCTCAGCCTTTCCAGCTACTGGGATTGCAAGTATGCCCCACCTTGCCTGGCCCAAAGCCAGTAATTTAAATAACAGCTCATACTTGCTATGGAGGACAACTTTTAAAAAGCTACATAAAAGCTTTAGCATTGTTTTATTAACCACACTGGTCATCTTTAGCTTACCTGGTTTCATCAATGTATACAGATTCAAGCACTGTGGCTGCATATTCCAGATTCTTCTTAAGGTCAACGACTGAAGCCTCCCCTCTCTCTAGCTGCTTGACCAAAGACCGTAACCTAGAGAAAAAAGATACGGGTTTCATTTGAATAGAGGCAACAAAGAATTGGACGATTATGATGACATAATTTGCAGTCACTGAATGTCTTATTAATTTCAATATATCTGAAAGGAAAAGGCTTATGGGTTCAAAGTAGCAAGTTATCAAATAAGTGCATATTTCTTTGCCATCATGAAACAAGAATAAACATTTTTCTCATCAACCAGGACGTGATCACTCCCAACACTTTCTACCCAAGTTTTATCTTTTTGAGTTGCTAAATTAGCCATGATTTTGCTTTTTTATAGATTTTTATGTTTTTGGTTCTAACAGGATATGGTAAAATATGATCAGCAGCAATATCACCAAACCTCTCTTGAAATTCTGCTCTGTCGAAGGCTCTGTATTCAGTTCTGGCCATAGAGAACAGCAGCCTTTGGTCCATATATGTTGAGACATGTGAGAAGTCAGATACCACTATTATAGCCATAAAGGATGGAAGAAATAGATGAAGACAAGTGATTTCATTGAGAAAGAATCCCTTGATTATCAGTAAAATACTCTAGGTTGTTTTTTTTTTAAGATGATGGATGATGAACCAAGGAATTCCAGGTATTATTACTGCCAAGAGAAATATAATATTTTCCAATAGAAATATAGTATTATTGTAGTATCTGAAAAACAGCAACTGAGACACTGCAAATCCCACAGGGATCTGGAGACTGGATGACTCTTCAGGTTGTTTGTCAAAGAAAAGAGTAGAGATTTTTGAAGACAGATTAGAGTTTGGATCCTATTTCTATTTCTCAATGTATTAGCTATGCAATGCTGGGTGAGTTATTTAATTTCTCTGAGTGTTACCCACCAAATGGAAAACCAAACATCAAATTTCTCAGGTTCATAAAAAGATTAAATGAAATTGATATAAAATTTGTGATTTATGTCTGTTTTTTTTTAAAGGAAGTTGTTGAAATTATTGTTGTTGGTATTTGATGATCTTGATCATCAGAGGTAACCAAATGAGAAAATTCTGGCTGAATACTTAAGATTACTGTCAGGTCAACATTTCCCTTTGGTTTATGCAATCTGTCCTCACCTTCCTGACTTAAAAATAACCTCCGACCAGCATTTATAGAAGAGAACAGGTGGATTTCTTGGAGAGATATAAACTACTTCCCTTCTGATCTTCATGAATGACCAACAATAAGGGATAAGAAGAATCTTGGATCAATCTTAAAAAGTAGGTAAAAAGAAGACTATACAAAGGACATCTCTAGGAATTTAAGTGGTGCAAAATAGAGATGAAATTGGATGGAGTTAGTTAGTTCTCATCTAACTTTGAATCTCCAACATGTGACAAAGAAATATGCGAAGGAAATGAGCAGAGGACTGCGTAGACTTGGAGGTGACGGTCAGTCCAGCACATCCCCTTGCCAGTTCTCGGAATTACTCTGGATGTCAGAGGGAGGACAGGACAGAGACTTGGTCTGGAAGGCCTTGCCAGTCACTCAAACACAGTGGACAGCCAGTCTACCAAAGAATGGGGAGATTGCAGCCTGGAGCCCTAACTGCTGTTCCAAATAAGGGTTGGAGGCTCTTTGGCAGCACACTCCTGGCTAAGTCTGTCTCTGGTTCTGATTCTCACCTCACGGGGCCCACCTACCCCTAAGCTATCTGGAGTAAAATGAGAGCAGATTTAAACTTTAAAAAAATTTCTTCCTTCAATTGGAGCGTAAAGATTCTACCGGGAAGCTCTGATAGGACCCGTTTCAACTCTTAAAACCTAAGAGGAAAGAACAAAACAGAAGAAAATAATGAGGGAAAATATGACTAATAAAAGAACCAGAAGATGCTATCTGCCTATAATAAAGCTTCCACAGGAAATAAACAGAAAGCAGCTTTAATCAAAACAAGTTTTCCTAGGCGGCACTAAAACCTGAGTAAGCAGGGGACATAAGAAAATCAGAAAAGAATAAATGAAAACATCCCACCTAGGCTGTTCTAATTTTTCATGCCAAAGAATAAAGAACTGAAAAAACTTTGAGAAAATAAAATGAATTGCTTCGAAAGTAACAGAAATTCAAGCTGCTCATATACAGCTACATGTCTAACACCAGAAAGAAATTTAACAATACCAGTTTTGTAGAATAGTATGGTATAAATGAAGACATTTATATCTGTAATGAGTAGCATTGTCATGGATAGGCAAAACCAACAAAGATATTCTCAGGTATCAAAAAGTTTACAATGTTATCATTCATATGCTTTCCAGAAAACAAATGCAAAACCAAGCTGTAAGGCTTGGTACACTCCTGGGTCTCCGGTGAAGTGGATAGTGGATTCCCAGCCTCCATTAAACTAAGCCAAACTTGACAAAGTAGACGAGTAGTTTCAAAAGAGTCCCTAAAGAAGTGGCTGATAAAATATAATGCTAATGCTGGGTGTGATGGCACACACCTGTAATCCCAGCATCTTGGGAGGCTGAGGCAGAAAGATTTCAGGTTAAAGCTAACTTTAACAATTCAGTGAGGCTATAAGTAAACTAGTGAAACCTTGTGTCAAAATAAAAAATAAAAAAGGGCTCAGGATGTTGCTCAGTGGTTAAGTGTCCTTGGATTCAACCCTTGGCATAATGATGATCATGATGATGATGATGATGATAATAATAAGAAGAAGAATAATAATATAAGAACAACTAAGTGTAGAAATGAGCTGACACTTCTTATAATACACCTCTATTGCCACTATAAACATCCTATGCCATTTTCACGAACCAGAGACTAGTAGTCAAAAAGTAAAAAAAATTGAAATAAGAACACCACAGGGACTATGGATTTGTATCCACTGTTTTTAACAATTCTCATTCCTGGGAAAGCATAGTATTGAGAGAATCAATATGGTGTTATCTTGCTACTAGGAAGCCAGACCTCTAGACCAGAGACAGGGAGGCGCTCCCAGAGAAAGCACAGCTTGGATTCCCACCCAGAGATTCAGATCAGCCCCACTGGAAAGGCCAGGGCTCTGTGCCACAATTAACAGGAAATCGGCACAGCAGGGGCTTCTCCATGACGCCACCAGTAGTGCCAGCCAGACACTGGGCAGTCACACTTGTGTATTCAATGTGAAGCTCTAATCAAGGGAAGGCTGCAGGAAACAAAACTCCTAGCAAAATGGCTTCAACAACCCCAGAAAAAAAAATGACACAGAAATAAAGTACTTTTTGATGCATAAGGGGTACCAAAGATTTGGACCTTTCTAGCTTCTGAGATGAGTGGAAGACTCCACCAACCTCCTAGCAGAGAGGGGAAGGAACCTGGGACAACCCACCCTCTGTATATGAAAAGTCATCAGTTGACAGTCACCTCGCCTGATTCAAGGATGACTAAACATAAAAAAAAAAAAAATCTATAAGAAGATTCAGCAATAAAGACAGAGGGGAACACAGCAGCACTTGAAAGGCAGAGAAAGGACTTGCTTCTTGAAAACAAGAAAATTCACCCATGGAAACAGCAGTCAATTTTAAGAAGCATCTGCTGTGGGCTCAATAAAATTCCAGAAAGCATAGATCTGTGGAACCTGGAATTGATGTAATAAAAAGTGAACATATTGAGAGAGAAAAGGAAATTAAAAAGAAATGAAACATGACAATAGTAAAACAATACAATTTTTTTAAAAGAAAAGAAAAAGCAGCAGCAACTTGCTAAATACCCAACTCCTGTTTGACCCAAAACCCATGTAAGATTCAAGCTGCAGCTGTCAGCCATCTGCTTTAAGTAGATGCCACTCAAACTCTTGGAGTTCCAGATGACCCTTCCCTCCGATATTGCTGAGCTTTAGCCTAGTGCTCAGTGGCTTCTACCACATTGGCCCCCAGCCCACCCTCCCCTCTAGCTCTTTACTCTTCCCATTAAGAACACTTCCCTGCCCTGCCTTCCCCCACCTACCACCTACTATTTGGTGAAACTGCTATTTCTTGGGCATAAGAGTTTCTAAGAGTTTTTATACTACTGAACAATTATTATCCACTATTCTCAAAAATTCTCAAAATTCCTGGGAATAAACAACCTTCCCTGTTTTTCATCAAAATGTAGGTTTTCTCTAGACCTGAATCCATCTTTTTTAAAAATTTGTTCCTGTTAGATATACTTGACAGTAGAGTGTATTTTGAGATATTATACATACATGGGGTATCACTTATTCTAATTAGAATCCCATTCTTCAGGCTGCACGTGATATGGAGTTTTGCTGGCCGTATATTCACATATGAACATAGGAAAGTTATGTCCAATTCATTCTACTGCCTTTCCTATTCCCATATTCCCTCCCTTCCCTTCATTCCTCTTGTTCTAATACAATGAACTTCTATCCTCTACCCTTGATTGTGTGTTAGCATCCACATATCAGAGAGAACATTCAGCCTTTGGTTTGGGAGGATTGACTTATTTCACTTAGCTTGATAGTCTCCAGTTCCATACACTAGAAAAACTAGGGATAGTAGGAACAAATCTCAACATTTTAAAAGCTATCGATGCTAAATCCAAGGCCAACATCATTCTAAATGGAGAAAAATTAAAAGTATTCCCTCTTAAAACTGGAACAAGATAGGGAAGGCCTTTTTCACCACTTCTATTCAACATAGTTCTTGAAACTCTTTCTTTTGTAATTAGATGAAAGAAAGAAATCAAAGGGAAATAAATAGGAAAAGAAGAGCCCAAACTTTCCCTATTTGCCCACAAAATGAATCTATATTTAGAAGACCCCAAAAAATACCACCAGAAAACTTCTGTAACTCATAAACGAGTTCATCAAGTAGCAGGATATAAGATTAATACAAATAAATTACTTGTGTTTCTATACACCAATGATGAATCAGCTGAAAGAGAAATCAGGAAAACTAACCCATGCACAATAGCCTCAAAAAAGCACCTTGGAAATCAATCTAACAAAAGAGGTGAAAAACCTGTACAATGAAAATTATAGAACACTAAAGAAAGAAATTGAAGAAACCCTTAGAAGATG